ACCCACTTTGATGCATTTTTCAAATTTCGCCTTGGGGCTGAGTTATCTTTTCACAGGGGGGGTAAGTTACACTTTAACCTTCAGGGTGGATATAGCTCGCTAGCAGCCTCGCACCGAGGACCTATCCACGTCATCATTTACCCAGAATGCTTTGCATGTAAATAAAATGGCTCCATCTGTGTTAAAATATATTTTTAAAAATTTAAAATCTAAACAGCCTACAGTATTTTTACAGTCTTTATTTTACAGTTAAAATAAATGTTTTTCAAATAAAGTCTAATGTTACAACTAATCGGGGATCTCTTTAAGAACACCCATTCCATAAAAAACACACATGACAAAACATGGGGGAACAAGTGAACAGGTCATGCGGCAACCGAGTCACACTATATTTAACAGCTGGAAATACACAATAGGAAAGTTGAGTTAAAAATTGCTCTGATACCGTTTACATGTGCACAAAAAACGACTCACGATTGGGCAAGAAAGTTCAGTAATCGAGGTTGCTCAGATACAGAAAAGAAGCTGATGCTCTTCCTCGTTTTCTGATGATGCACACGTGTTTCCTTTCAACAACGAAGAAGCAGAGTTTTTGAAGAGCAGCTGTAAGTCTCATTATCACCTATTTATCCTCATGTCCTCCTCTGTTCAGCTGTCATTTCTGCCCTGTGCAGAAAAAAAGACTTTAAAGTCTTTAATGGGTTACATGTTAGTTAGAGTGCAGAGTGCACACAAGACTGTTTTTTTTTTTTTTTTTTTTGGACTCCTTTTGATTAACGGAGTCTCTGTGCCCACTCGCTGACTCACTCTGGTCAGTTCAGAAATAATCGCATCAGCGAAACCCGGTGTGTTATTACGCTGTTATTAAATTGACGAGTGGGCTGTGATCCATATTAAACTTTGTTGTTTCACTCTAGTGATTAATGGCCTGGGATCCAGCAAGCAGAGATCTCTCTATATAATTTGCATGGAGAGAATGTATTTTTATTCATTTTCAACATGAATAGACGAGCTCAGAACTCTCACACGAGATGATTATAGGATTTAACATGGCTTGTATATGTTTCTAAAAAGAAAGTGTGTTATAGACGGGAGTTATTTCAAGATCTGCTGGGGTCGCATTTAGGTTCAAAGCGTGCGTGTTAGCAATGCATGCAGATTTTACTTTCCGTAGAGCCGTTTATGTACTTTGTGGTCGTGGGCTTTTTGTGCAGAGGGATATTAGGAGTGTGTGTCATCAGAAATCAATGGTGGCACATCTGGTTGTGTTTAGGCCCGGTCTGAGGCGGCAGCCTGTTTGAAACAATGAGGAGGAGGAACGATTCAAGAGAGTTGTACGCTTCTGTCTTAGTTTATTTTCAAAAAAGTGTAATTTATATACACTTTACTATGAATGTATTAAATGGTATATTTACTTGGAAATAAAACCTAAACTTTCACACACACCTCCTGTCTGCACACTGTAAATTTTCAATGGATCAGATGTTTTGAGTGCCTGTTTGTTCGGTCCAAACACCAGCACAAACTTCTGTCATCTGGTCTTTGTTTGTGATGTTACTTCCTGTAAGCTGTCTGCAGCCTACCACACACACACACACACACACACACACACACACATAGCCGCAAACAAAAAAAAGTGTTCATTTCGACTCTTGCGTTATGCAACAGCAAGGAGTTCATCTTTAAGCTTGTCAAAGAGCATGAACTGGAACAAAGGAAGATTTAAGGAAAGTTTTTCCACTTGATCAGTGAAGATAAAACATGAAGAACGTGTTGCAGAAACAGAAATAAGGAGACGTCCAGTGTGATGTAAAAATGATACCAAAGAGGTTCGTTCCAGCTTTGATGAGTCGTGCTGCCCGTTTGATGTCTTTGATGTTCAGAGAGGTATGCGAGGTGGGAAAACGTGTCAGTTAAAGGGGCGGCGACTGGGAATGAGGGGCTGTTTAATCTGACCGCTTTGAGCTGTTGGGATAAACTGAGAATTA